AATACAACACAAATGTATGTGTATATATATATATGTGTGTGTGTGTGTGTGTGTGTGCATGTGCATGTATGTATATGTATATGTATACACACACACACACACACACACACACACACACACACACACACATATGCTTAACCTCCAAAACTGACTGGGTAAACTACTATACTGAGACAGGTGGCCAATCCCATATTTACTGCACTGATGATATTACCTAGCTGGGTAATTAAATTAAAGCAAATAACCAAGCTCATAGAATATCAAGAATTCCAGAAGCTTCAATTTAATTGTAGAATCTGTTGTTTGGGTTTTATTTTCCTAGCTTTAATGCTTTAAATATAATTGGAGGATGAGGAGGAGGTTGCAATCAAACCTGAGTTCCATTAGCAACTACAAAATTATTTTCAGGACATGAGAGGATCTACCATAATAGTTTTGGTAGTGAATACTGGGGTTTAAAAAGGGGACTACAGATTAAAATTCCTGATTTGCCATGCAACTCCCTGTATTGCCTTGAACCAAACACTGCTTGTTAGCTTATCTCATTTTGCAAACAGTAGGGTAAAATGCAATTACCTGTGTATGCCATCCTGGAAGAATAGGAGGGTACCAGTCTCATCAATAAATAATCAGGATGTATTATTAACTGTGGAAGGTATATATCAGCAGGCAGTAAAATTGCAAAACTACTTATTTTTTTCCCCTCCAGATGACTACAAGTCAGAATTGAGAGAACAACTGCCATTGATTGCTGGTTCTGCCGCAGCAGGGGTCGTCTTCATTGTCTCCTTGGTGGCTATTTCAATTGTTTGCAGCAGGTATTACTTGCCCCATTAGCCTTTTCTTTCCATTCGAAAGAGGAACTTTCCCAGAGGACATAGTAGGAATGCATAAATGTTCAGCAGGATACTTTTGGCAAAACTAATGATCTGGGGTGATTGCACAGAAAATATTCCACAAATGAGTGGATATACTGGTGGACATCTTTGGGGGGAAAAAAACACCCGTATGTATCAAAAAACACTTCTATGTCAGAAAGCTCTGTTGAGAATACCAAATCAAAAGAAACAAAATTACCAAATAACTCCCTTTGTTTGATGGGCCCTCATTTAGGAAGCTTGTCTCCCAAGGCCAACTGTCTTCTAATGTTTGTCCTCAGCTTAATCTTCTCCAAACGATTCTCTTCTTGGTCTCCCGCAGAGGATATTTATGGTGTGTTAGCTTCTGTTGGCTATTATGATGCAATAAATGGGTTTTTGGTATTTTGGTTGCCTTTCTGCTTTCTGATCCTATATTATCTCCCACATAAAAGGTTATTTTATTGTGACAGTTTTTAACCAGATTATGGGTCTGTTTTATTTAGTTTCAATTGTAGGTGTAATTGCAAATCAGTGAAATTATTCCTGACATGGGGTGGTAACTAACAATGCAAAAAATTACTAAATCATTTTAGTAAATCATATTAAATTTTGAAGGACAATATCAAAAAATAGCTTCATTAACTGTTGGTCAAAAACAGGCCACAGTGGTAGTTTTCTCCAAAGTGCATTTCGGGAGCTTTCATAGGGAGATACAGGTAGTCCTCAACGCACAACAATTCATTTAGTTGAACGCTCAAAGTTTCAACCACACTGAAAAAAGCAACATGATCATTTTTCACACTTATGACTTTTGCAGCATCCCCAGGGTCCTGTGATCAAAATTCAGATGCTCAGCAACTGTTCATATTTATGACCGTTGCAGTGTCTTGAGATCAAGCGATTACCTTTTGCGATCATCTGGCAAGCAAAACCAATGGGAAAGGCAGATTCACTTAACAATCGTGTTACTAATTTAACAGCTGCAATGATTCACTTAACAACTGTGGTGAGAAAGGTCATAAAATTGGACAACACTCACTTAACAAATGTCTCCCTTAGCAACATAAATTTTGGGCTCAATTTTGGTCATACATCGAGGACTTAAACTGTATTAAATAAGTTAAGAGGGTGAGTGTGACCATAGTTCTAACCCTTTGGTAGAACTCGTGTTCGTGTTACATGAGTCTACACCGGAATTTGGCTCCAGTCACACATTCATGCTTGACAGTTTGACTGGCTTTACTCCTTCCCCCTGCACATGCCCCTGATACATTTTTGGAAGGGGTTCTCTAAGGTAGGAATCATTTTAATGTGTCATCAGCTAATCAACTTTGCAATGCTGATATGCCTACTAAGGACCCAGGGATGGATTCATAGATTATGCTGAGCCATGATGTGGTTTGTATTGCTTTGATTTACAGATTACATGCTGCCGGCTGCTATGAATTATAAGCTTGCAAGTTGATGATGGAGGTACACAATACGAAACCTCCTTTGGTGTGTGCTCCTAAAAGTCTATTGATATGTTTTGTTCATTGTATTCATATATGAGAAGGCAATTAAGTAATTTGTATTTAAATTTAAATTACTTAAATACAGTTTATGTGAAATATATTAAATACATACAAACTGTGCTTAAGTACATTAATTTAATTAAATCAAAAAGAGTTATGCACGGATTCTGCTTACATTTTACAACCCAAGGGCCAAATGCAGTTTTAGCCTAAAAAATGTAAACGTTCTGCCTCTTATTATGTGTGAATTCAGCCATTGTGATTTATTCAACAAACTACAGTTAAAACAAACTTTTCATTACATCAGAAATAAGCCCTTTAATGGGGTGTGTAATTATTAAAGGAAAAAGATAATCCTGTGTATATTGTGTTGCTATTCTCCAGGGATAATAAAGGTACAGTATCTTACGTAATCAGGAAAATTCCAGTGAAGACAGAGCAGATGGGTTAGGTCAGGGATGTCAAACTCGTGTCATTGTGGCATCACGTGATGTATCAGGACTTTGCTAAACCTGGCGGGGGCGAGGCTAGCATGGACGCAACCAGCCCATGGACTGCGAGTTTGACACCCCTGAATTAGATCAACCACAGCAGAAGAAAGCAGGAAATAGAATCTTGGATTGGGTTAAATTAATCCTGTTGCCTGAAATTATCCCCTAAGAGTAATAAATACTATTTTAGTAATTTACTAATTGAGCCTTATGTGGACAGTTATTATTTGGGATGTGATCACCTTTTCCCCTATATGGGAGCTGTCTAGATGCAAACGAAATTTACCATCATTTTATAAAGTCACTTCTCTTAAAATAGTTCAGTATAGTTTTTGCTGATGGTTCCTTCTCTCAGCCAGAAGCTGATGACAAAGCGCTACACACAGAGCTGATTTTTCTTCCCTTAGAGAAGCAAGCTGTGTCTTATCCTCATCAGACTCTTCTGATGGCATGATGACAGAGCTAGAATTACAGAGTACTTGGTCTATAGCAGAAGTTATCAATTCAGAACCATATGCCCCGCTAGGATTTGAAGGATGCCACATGTGAAAAACATAATTGGGGGGACTGAATGAGCCAAGGGGGGGGGGGCACAGAAAAGGAAAGTATATTATAATGCAAGCACTGTCTGGTTGATGCCAAAACAATGCACCAATTGGGCTTTCATGTCTGAATAATAGGTAATAGGTCATGGGCCAGAGACGGCAAAGGAGCATATATGCAGGGGGCATATATGCAGGGGACATAGGAGAAAAACAATATTGGAAGGGGGGCACAGCAGGGGTAGGTTTCAGCAGTCACTACTGCTGCTTCACTCATGGCCGTCTGTGTGTGCTTGATGCACACTGCATGTGCATGCGCAGTGCAAAAAAATATTCTGCGCATGTGCAGAAGCAAAAAACAAGATGGTGGCTCCTACAGCGCCGCCCGGTTTGGGGGTATGGCTGTCCTGGGTCGCTGCCGGTGCCAGTGACTCAAACTGCTAAATCACTACTGGTTCAGCCGAACCGGTCTGAACCAATAGGAACCCACCACTGAGGCACAGGCATTTAGAGAAGTGACATATTTATATGATCACTGCCTCCAAATGCTTTTCAAAGTGTGCTTGATCTTAGAATTTGGATATAATTTGAACTGATGTTTACTTTTTATTTTCCTAGGAAGCGAGCATATAGCAAAGAGGCAGTATACAGTGATAAACTACAGCATTACAGTACTGGTAGAGGTGAGTGCAAGAAACCTCTATAAGGTTACAGATGGGCCAGGAACGTTGTAAGTACTTTGTTGTAAGGCTTTGATAATAGTCATATCTTTTAATCGCCTGGTTTGGAGTTGAGATGAAGACTGAAAAATACTTGGAAGGAGGGGGGCTTGCTGGGAAGACAAAAAAGAAGGGAAAAATGGATACTAGGCAAAGAACAGATATCTTAAGGTTGCTATAGTTCCTGTATGTTAGAAAGAGTTTATAAATTCTGGCCAAAAATGATGGGCAGAGAACAAAGTAAGGGCAAACATAGTACTATCAGAATTTCCTTTGCAGATGCTCAACAGAACTAATTAACAACAGAAAACATGGAAACTGGATAAATGAAAGGATTCACGAGAAGCCCTGAAGGAAACCCTTAACCTCAGAAGATAAGGCTTCTCTCCTGGCATTTGTTTAGTTAGATATTTGAAGTAGTTTTTAGAACATTTTTTTTTACCCATCTTCATTCAGGCAAAATGAAAAGCCAAAATTTACAGCACTTGTTGCCATACGCTCCTGAGCTAGTTGTTTATTTGAAATAAGTGGTTGCCTTCAGTCTTTCTGCAAATATCCTTGGAATACAGAACTTCACATAGTTCACCTGAAATGGGAGCTTGTTACAGAATGCAGTTAGGGTAGTTGTATTTGTGCTGGTCATCATTTGATTGGCAAGCAAAAGCAAGGTCTTGGAAGAAAGTATAATCAAATCTTGGTATTTTACTCAGTCTAAAAATATTTTGTAGAAGTGCATTGATTTATCAGGGACAGTGAAATGTTGGAAAATGTTCTTATCTCCTGTTTCATAAACAGATCACATTCTATTGCTTCCTGAATTCAATCTGGGTCATGGAAAGCAGTGAATCAGTTTTTATACAATCAAGGTTCTTTTTAACATATTAGGAAAGTGAGTAGGATAATCACAAGCCTAACCACCAAATAGTTGCAGCCTACCCATACATGCTTTATTTGCTTACAGGGTATGTAGAACCAGCTGCAAACATTTATATTTTATAGTTCCCAGGTGTTTGGGGAAAATCTCTAATACAAATGTGCATAACTCTTTGGAGTTCTATAGAGTACAGCCATCAGCAATACCTAAGCAAGCCTCAGCCAAACCAGGAAATGAGATAAAAGGTAGAAAACCAAATTGGGAGCAGCTGAAATCCAATGTGCACTATAGAGGCAAAGTCTCAGAGACATTTTTATTTCTTTAAAAAGACAATGTGAGCCTAAAATGTAGGAGAGAACATCCTCATTATTATTCAACTAGATGGACTGGAATATGCTACTGTATCATGATAGTAAAGGTTAATCAAATGAATATTAAAATGAAACACAATGAAAACTTCATAGAAGCTTTTGTATTTGCTGACCTTCAAATTGGTTTCAGTGTATTCCTAAGATTTTGAATGTAGTTATCTGTAAATTCTGCTTGAAATTATATAGGCCAACATAGTTTGCTGTTGGGAGTCTAATGATTTTAAACAAACTAAAATTGCTAAGACCAATATGAATAAGAATAGCTTCTTATCCAAGTCTCTATAATTAATTTGGTAAATATGAAAATACTGTAGTACCTAACCATTTCTTTCTTTCAGATTATTACTATAGGCACTTTTTTAAATTGACAAAAATGCATAGCTTAAAAGTTTTAGATCTATCAGTTTTCACTGATGTATTAGCATTCTCACTATTTCTATGATCAAAATATTTCTGTAGATAATGCTTGGTTTTTTTAAAATGTATTTATGTTTTTAACTAAGCTGAAGGACTATTATATAACTGTGTTTCTAAAGTAATCATAAGATTGAACATTGCAAGAGATATGAGGGTCCAAAGTGAATGATATAGAGATGAAATGGTGCTGACAAATGTCTGAACTGGAGTTTTGATGAGTCAACTTCAAAGAAACTGCAATCAGCTAGGAAACATTATACTTACAGTGGGCAATCTATGGGTTGTTCCTCTGAAATTCTGTGCTATAACATATTTCCAAAGAACGAATCCAAAGAGAATGCTACAGCACATGTCATACATTCTTCGGCAGAAGATACTTTAAATTATATTTCGCTGCAACCTCAGGAAAGAAATCGTTTAAAAGGATGTGATGTCTGGACAACTTTCATTCCTCATTACCATCACCTACTTTCAGTGTTTGTCCTACTTGGAGCAAAGAAAATGGGGCGTGAGAAATTTGTGACTGGTTTTCAGCCTGGATACTTATTTTTCTGAATTAATAAGAGACTTTTCTTTTTACAAGACCCTGCAACGTGGATGGAACAGTCTAGGTTAACACTTTTCCATAGGCATTTTCTAATATCATAGTCTTTCCCTAAAGGAGAAATGGCTAATAGAAGATATATAGGCAGAAAGGTAGATCCAATCTCTTATTTGCTAACCACCAAGTTTCTAATCTCCTGCTAACCCTTGTTTTTACTTTATTTTGCTCCATTTTTTAAAAAAAAATAATGTATAAGGGAATAGAAAACATCCAGATTGCCTTCATCAATATGAATGAAATTGTCACTTATGAAAGCCATCATGTTTGGCATGTGATTGACTCTATTAGCTTTAGTCAGATATTCCATGATCAGTAAGGAATTTATCTAAAATAAGATCACTTTCACCTTGACAGTTAATGGATAGGGTGGCCAATAAGGAATAGATACAGATTTTCACAATAATTTTATAATTGACTTCATATTGGTTTTCAGCTATTACTCAAAACTTCATTCTTAAGTTTAGGAAAGTTAGGCCCAGCCAGGATCTGGATGAAAAGTTATGAACAATTGAATTTAAAAATGAATTTATGTAGTATATATTGGAAGTAAAATGTTAGAGAAATCTACCCCTTCTCTATGGCTAATGGTGATCAGATTGCTTAAGATGCTAAAATTAAGATGAATAAAAATAAATTCCCCAACAACTGGAGCAGACTGAGCCCCCTTTTATGTATGTATGGATAGATATAAATATAAATGATGTAAATGTTGGCAAAGCCTTGAGTGTTATTTATATCCCATCTTTATTATTTTACAAATAACTCAATGCACACACAACATAGTTTCCTTCTATTTTCCTCACAACAATAATCTTGTGAGTTGTTTGGACTGAGAGAATGACTGGCCCAAAATCACCCATCTGGTGTTTTTGCTTAAGGCAAGACTTGAACTCACAGCCTCCTGCTTTGTAGCCTAGTACCTTTATCACTAACCAGACTGTCTGGCTGTTATTGTTTGCTGTCTGCCTATTGGGTAAGTTAGTTTAGCGTGGCATTTAAATGGACTATTTTTTATTTGTTTCTATTTGATTTTTCAGGCTTGCATAAGTGGCCAAAAAATTCTAAGAAACACATCGCTGGTATAATATTTTGATATATGCAGTACTGTACAAAAATTTAATTTAATGAGGGTATTCATCTCAAGTGGCTATTGATACTAGCATGGAAAACACACTACAAATAAGAATTACTAACTTTTTTCATTGACAATCTTTGTGTCAGGTTATAATCTTTACATCATACAGCATATTTATATATTTTACAATCTGATATATTTGCATGCTAACTGTATCAGAATAAAGAAAATTTAAATTATGTAGCCTTTCATTTACAGAATGATGACATGGAATTTCCAGAGAAAATTACATGAATACATGTTTTAAAGATTAAAATAACAAACACATAATTTACATTTATGATCAAAATTGTCACTTACATTTTCATTTTCTAGAAGGTAAACAAAAGAACACTGAGAGGTACAGATTCCATGTTCCAAAAAGATCTAAGATTTTTTCAAGGTTTAAATATTTGCTAAAATATAACTTTTTGCAAACTCCAGTAGGAATATTTATAGAAGAGAAGGAAAATATAATAGACAGTTATTGTTTTGTTATCAGTTATTGTAAAGTACCCATAAAATGGATATTGCCCTTAAAAAGTAATCTAAAATTGAGGAAATACATCTTTCTGTTGATTAGCATCTGTTGGTGATACAGAAATAAGCAATCTTTGAAGTACCAAAATGTTTTCCTTTGGCAGAATGGAGAAGCTGCTAATTCTCAGCACGATAAAAGAACAAAGCTTGTGCTATCAGCTAGAAATATGCATCAGTCTATTCTCTATCATTAGTACTAGAGTTGTTGCATGTAGCATATAATTGCATAGCAGGATGTGCTTTTCATCCTCTGATCTTTGAGCTTTCATTCATGCTGTGCTAATTATGTCAGCCCACCTTTACCCCTAGGGTAGTTCCAAACTATGGCATTTTCTTAACAAGTTCAAAGCCATTTATCAGCTGTGCATATACCTTCTCCCTGGCCCTTTATTCTGTACTGCTGGGCATTTAGACATCAGGGTACCCTTGCAGAGAGCATGCTAGTACTATGTTACAAGATCATTGTAACCTCAAATTGATCACCTGAATTATATGTTAGTTTGGCTGTTCCAATCTGTAAACCAGACTTGGTTATCATCTTGTAAATTCCTTTGTAATTCTGCTATAGAATTAGCTGCACTTATAAAAGAATTTATGGACAGTAAAAGTCTGTCTGTGATGAAGCAGTCAAAACAGAGATGACTTCCTGGCAAGTTTCAGTGTTGGCTATGGAAGAATCCATCTTTGGACCAATGTGTACCTAATAGTTTGTTCAAATATCAGAATACTCTACATCATATTTAGCACTATAAAATTAATCTAGTAATGAAGCAATTGATCAATTAGTATATTTTGATGACTGCATTAACTGTAAGGCAATCTATATAATTAAGATGAAAACTGAACATTAGTATGGTGACCGTTCTTTTCTTTCTAATTTATTCTCTTCTCCCTATGAACTTTCTGACACCTACAGGCCAGCTGCCAAAGCTAGAGAGTTAAGAATTATATGTGGCATATAGATTACTGGTTGTCGATTCCTACAATAACATCTGAAGAAATTGGTTGAGTTATTGACATTATTGGTTCAGACCAGGCATACAGTATTTAGCTGGAGGAAAATCAAATATACTTTAATATTAAATGAGTCATCCAGAATACCTGAATATTTTTGATTGAGAATCTCTAAAAGTGGCATTTTTTTAAAAAAATTCTGATGCTAGGTAAAAATCAAAACTATTTGGGTCTGGGAAATTAATATAGTATAGTTGAGTTATATTTAAATGAAGCATAAGTTATACCCACCCACATCTATTGAAGTATGGTCTTGAAATAGCATTCAAACAATATTCATAGGCCAAGGGTAGTCCTTTGACTGAAGAATATGAGCCATCCTGTCCTACAGCATTTACCATGTACCAGGGAAACTGGAAAGCTTCCAATCATTTGTAGAAGCCTGATATTTGAAGCTGTTAACAATCACCTACGTCTTGGAGTTTTAGTTGTTTTAGCATTTTGAAAAGGGAACTGAAGACTCTTGTGGTCTAGAAAATAGTTCAGGAAGGGGTGAGAAACATAGATTTTTCACATAACCATTAAAAGAAAAAAAGATTTCACCCTTAGTGGTACCTCACACGTGTTTGTTCTTAGATTCATACGTTTCACTATAAAATGTATGTGCTTCTACCAATATAATATGCATTACTGAATGTAAGATCTCTCTTAAGATATGTGAAATAACAAGGTTTCTACCCTTCTTTCAAAGTCCTTTTAGCACTCTCAATTCTGCCAGTCACGTTGGTAAAGTTTTATCAGCTACAAGGAGAATCATTTAGAGAAGGGTAAAAGAAACCTGAAGAATATTTATTATGGAGATTGTATTTTATTGTTTACAAACTCTCCAGTTTGTAATTGCTACATTCTGTCAGTAGCAGCCACAAAACAATCAAACGGTGTGCTGAGTAAATAAAAATGGGTTAAATTATGCATTAAGGGAAGTGCCATAAATCTGCTGCCATTTTTCCTATAGAGCTAGCAAAGTAGCTTTGCTGCACAACTTTGCTCTTGTGAATTGAACAAAAAAGACTTGTAAGAAGACCTTTAACTCCAACTGGCAAGCTCGTCAATCTGAATCAACTAGAAAGCTTTCTAGAACATTAAACTGTTGAAAAATGATTTTATCCTGTTTTTTTCAATCCTCGTTTTGCCTTTCTATAACTCTACTTTTAAAAGAGTGCACTGATAGTGTTCTTAGGTACTGATTGTATTTTATCTTTCCTTTTTAGTTTTGTTTTCAATTTCTCAAGGCAACTTACTTTTCCAAAGTGATTTCTTTCTTCTCTCCCTTTTTCTCTTCCCTCCCCTTTTCACTCATTTTCCTTCTTTGTTTGCTTCTATTTATTTCTGCATTCACTGCTATGGCGCAGAAAAGGCATCGGGCTAATAAATATTGTTCTCTAGCTACACTTTTTTCTTTGATTTTCTTGCTAATGGACTTGGTATGGCTTTGATAAGCAAAAATATGAACCTATTTTTGGATATACAGTAATCTATTTCCTGATCCTGATCCATTATAACTAATATGTCCTGAATTTCCAGGGAGACTGCAAAAGAAAAGATGTTGTAGGGGAAGTAGGGAATAAGAAAAGACTGGAACAGAAAGTATAATGACCTGTCCAACTCAGAAAGAGATCTTGGTTTAAAAAAAATAAGGGAAGGAAGTTTAGTTTCAGGGTGCTATTCTACCCTCCTCCCAGAGATGAATGTGATTCTTTTTTTTTTTTCTCTTCTTTTATCTCACTAAAATGAGAAGGCTCCCCTGGAATGAAGATCTACATTGACCCTTTTACATATGAGGACCCCAATGAAGCTGTCCGTGAATTTGCCAAGGAAATTGATGTGTCTTTCGTGAAGATTGAAGAAGTCATTGGAGCAGGTGTGACTCATTTGCTAGTGGGCTGATGCTCAATACCACCCCCATTTTCTATTTTCCTTCCTTTTCGTCCACGTTGGATATTCTGGTTCATTCAGCTCAATTATCAGTGGACTGGCTTTTTAAAAAAAGTCTAACTATATCTTCTGTGATTGAAGAAGCTGTGCTTAATTAATTGACTCATTTTAATACATTCTTGTGCTCCCAGGTTTAATTAACAATAAATAGGTTGTGCAATTGTTCCCTAGTTTATGGCATCCCTCTATTCACTAGAGCAGCAATTTCTACCTTTTAAAAATTTAAACAAAATTCATAGAGGAAAAATTAAACAAACATAGCAATCTTCATTTTAAAAGGTGTTATTCAAAATCCATACTTTGCATAAAAGTAATTTGCATAAAATTTGTAAATTATAGGATTAATTAATTATACAATTTATAAACCACTTTTCTTTTTTTATAAAATCAAAGTGATTCACATTTAAGATATAAAATTACAGAAAACAAATCATTATATAGGATATCTCGCCAATAGGTAAGTAGGACGTCAAAATAATGTCTATGTTGTCAAACAAAAAATTTAATATATTGTACACACAGCAACAAGAATGGCATCTAATCTTTGTGAAATATTTACTAAGTATATTAGATGGCACTAAAAACAAATTCTGCATCACTTAATATTGGAACTCTGTGATATAAATATTTTGAGTACAAAGATTAGTTAGACCTATATGAAAACGAATAGTTTCTTTAAAAGATCCTGGCATTTATAATACAATTTAGGCATTTTAGGGTCTTGTCTGCAAGACTTTGAAAATGGCTGACCTTAGTCATCTTATTTCAGGCAATTCACTGACCTTTTTATACTATTGTAAGGTAAGTTTATTTAATGTTAGGACTCATTGACAGTACATTCTTGGTGTTGCTGTACCTGTATTATTTATCAGAGTTCCTTATCTCTCAAAATAACATTAAGTTTATGTGTGTTACTTACTCTTGACACAGCAGTAGATGTATTTGAATCAACAAATCTGCAGTCAACCTTTACGGAAGTTTTAACCTGATTGTTTTAGATAGTCTCCTAAAAGCCTCTTTCAATTCTTTGATTCTATGACTCAGACATATATGCAACTGTAGAAGGCAATATTTTCTTTTTTCTGAATGAACAAAATTTTTGGTTTGAGTGTCTACATAACATAACAAGAGTGGAATTACAATGAGGTAAAGCAACCTAAAGTCCATTTAATTAATAGTTTAAAAAGTGTTGTCAGCTGCAAGCAAAATATTTTATATCTAGTTCAACTGAGGAGAAAGTATTTTTACTCCATGAATTTCAGATGGGTTGTTAACTCAAACTAAATTGGCATATTTAGGATTTTTCACAGTGAGGGTTTAAGTAATCCAGAATATATAATCTTGCTTAAAAAGATTTGGGGCATTTGATGGTCAGCCTATGGTCTATTTAAGGCTGTATTCTTTCTTAGAATCCCCATACTACAGTATATTTTTATCTAATATTTAATACTGGTCTGAAAATGGTCCAGAATTTAATTTTTTGCTAAGCTCTAATTACATGCATGCATTTCTGGAATTAGCCTCAAAAAGGTTTACGTTTGCTTGCAGACATTTGCTTCCCATTTATCCATTCTAGTATATGTGATCTTGCCTGTTACTTTTTGATGTTTTTTCTGTCCTGTTCTTCAATTTGAATTACTCAACCTCTTCATTCAGATAATTAAAAATGAATTACTTGCTTAGTCATGACCAATTGCTTTGCTGTTTTATCTGCCTTCAGCATTGCTTTATTCATTGCTTCTTTTTCCATTAAAGGTGCTTCCAGGTGGAGATGTTTATGGACATCAAGTGGGCTGGACTGGCACACATTTAATATTTGTATTTTTAATCATGGTGGTTTTCAGGGGACTTGCAACTTCTAACCAGGTGGCAGTTACAGCACAGCATTCTACACTTCTGGGAGTTATCCTTTTTAAAATATATAATTCCAAAGGTTTTTACTGTGCTAATCAGAACAGTTTTTATCTGGAAGTATCCTTATTTCTTTCTTTCTTTCTTTCTCTCTCTGTCTGTCTCTCTCCCTTTTTCTCTGTCTCCCTTTCTGTCTCTACACCAGACCCTTATCATTGCACAACAGGTGTCACCTTCCTGTTTTCTAAGAAAGATGAAGGAAGATGAAACAAATCACAAGGAATTGAGAGTAGGACTCAAAGAGCAAACCTATTAACTTCAATTGTATTTTTCTTCTATTTATGTCTATTGTAAATTTTTATCTTCTTTGACTTCTTTAAGCTTCTATAATTTTTGTTGTTTTTATTTAAAGAATATGTTCACTGATGTTGTTCACTTTATTGGGTCAGTCATGCTATCTGAATACAAACCTGTTTTTAAAAAAATAAGTATCACAAATTCAGTGAGACTCCTGAGTGTATTTATATTTATTTAATAAAAGTTGTTTTCCATCATTAAAGAACTCCAATACTTAGAATTATACAATGTTAATCTTTAAGATATTGGAATAATCTGCTTTGAATTCAATGGAACTTTCTGCTAAATCAGTATTTAGCACTGTGAGATAATAGTTGATAGATGGATGTCTTCTAAATTAATCAGTATTTTACCTGTTAGCAAATTAACTACATATTCAGTAATACTAAGAGAAAATTGAGAAAACATGAATAAAATACTAGTTTCAGAGGTCAGCCACTTTAGATTTTGAACCAAAAATATAGTCTTGTAGCTTTTTCAACTAATAAATTTATTATTCCACATGTTTTTTGTGCCACATCAATTTTGTGAAATGAGACAATATTTAACTTATTTGAGGCCTCTATTGCTGACTACAAGGTGATAGTCCTTTAGAAAAAGGATTAACAAAGAATTATTTCAGTGCAAAACATTGGAATTATCAGCATAAAAAATAATTTCTATTTTTCAGGGATTAAACAAAAAGCTCCCAATTACTGCTCTGTTTAAGTCAGTTTTTAAACTTTAAGTTTATTCAATGGTACACAATACTACATATATTTTTTTACATTTGTTTGTTCACAAGATGTGAACAAACAAGATATACATTGAATTAGTCACCTTGTTAATTGAGTTCATCCTTCATAGCAGATTGCCATGGCTTTCAAATTGTAGGCTTGTAAAATGCTGTGGGAAAAGAAGCCACATATAGTGGAATCTAGACAAGATAACTGGCTGCAAGAAGATGGCTTTCTTCTCACTAGATGAAAGGAACCCAGTAGACTCCAGTCTTTCTTCTGAAAGTTGACTTTGAAATACATGGTTATGCACCTGCACAAAGCACATTTGGAGTCTTTGAAAGCTTTTGTTATTCTTGTCAGGAGTTCAGCCCTTCATATATACTGCATGCAGCTCATGCCAAACCATCTTGTTTTTATCTGCAGTGATACCATATTTTAGCTCACAATTGCCCTAAAAATTTTTTTTTTCTTTTCATTTCTCTTTTGATTCTATTCTCCTCCTCCCGTCCCATGGCCTTAAGATATTTTGGGCAAGACATTATTATCCTTTTTCTTAGAAAGCCTTTGGTCTCAGTCTTAGAGTCTTAAAGGTTCCATTTCATAAGCACCAGCATTATGGAAGTGAATTTCCTTCTCAGCTGGGAACAGTTTTTGCCTATTCTGCCTTGGGGAAGATCAAATGGTAAATTCTTATAAGCACTGCAAAGCAATTACTAAACAGGCTCACTGCGATTGTTTATCCCATTTGTGAGCTGTTCTCCGGGAACAAGTGTTTAGAGTAGAGTAGCAGACTCTGAAAGTACTCTATCCCCTTTATCTTTCTTCAAAGCTCCTACCATGTCTCAGAGGTTGTCTAGGAGGTCTTTCTATTCTCAATTCATGTTCAAGCTCTCTGTCTCTGGTAGAAAATCCACAGCCCTCTGTTGTGCTGCCATCAGCACTTGATAAACAACCTAAGCTTTCTAAAAGGGCTGCCTTATTTATTTCAGTTACGACACAAAAATAGTATTATGGTTTCCCCAATACTGATTCCATCAGCTATAAGTCCTTTTTCACCTGGTCTGCTACATTTCTAGTACTCCAGTTTCAGGAACCATTGAGCTGAACCATCCATGCCATTTGCTGCCCCTAAAACCCAGTTTCAGAAGGAGTCATTTATAATAAGCCTCTCTGAATCTTTGTTCTCCCAGCCTCTCAGATGGCTCAATCTAGATCCATCCCCACCTATATCTCAAGGTGATCAAAATCAAAGTTATTGTAGTGCATCTTATGATGAATGCCTGTCCTCAATTTTCATTGATCTCATTATGTCCCATTAGATTTATTATTTCCTAGAACTGACCATTAGGTCCTGGTTCCAAACAGTTCTTGGGATATTTTCCTCCATGATTTTTTTTTTTCATATCAACCCATGATTTGCAACTTTCTATGGCATTACTTTCATTCTGTCAGAATTTTTTCTGTTCTTCAGCACATATCATATCATTGCTAGCCCCTCAAATATTGCTGCCTTCCTTACGGTCAATGATTTCACCTGTGCCTTTTGGTATTCCTTGTCCTCAAATTAGTACAACTATCAAGCTTTTGTTAATGGTAGTCTCTGTAAGGTATCTCCAGATATGTTACAATACTCTTTGATTCTGATGACTTCTTGATCTGTTTCATTACTCAATCCCCTGGCTAAGGACTTTGCTCTCCATATTATGAGCAGTTTTGTCCAATAGTGCAGGCTCCAGCAAGTTAAACTATCATCTTAGACCAAGAAGAACCCAATTGGTGGAAGATGTGATTGCTTCTATAGTCTTTATAACAGTGATTCTTAAGCTACTGATAATTAGCCCCTAGGAGGTAATTGGAGCATATCCTGGGGATAAATAGGATAATTTATAATTGCTTGTTTATGTCAAATATCTAGTTTGGGACCACTCTTGCTGAGACATTTTGTGTAACAAAAAATGTCATGGGAAGGAAGGGGGTCAGGAGGATTACTGACATTATTTAAGCCTGGGGAAATAGATAAGTTGGTCCAACAAGTTAAGAGCCCCTGCTTTGTAGTTATATTTCTAGACTTTCTGAAGACTAATATTCATGAGCTAAACTGGTCACTATATCACCAACATTTATAGACCCATCTTGGCATTTGAAAATCATTTCCAAGGTCTTCATGGCTAGACTCTTCATAATTGACCCTAAAAGACAGAAACTACAGACAGCTTCAGTATTTTCAATTTCATTTCTAAGACTGGTTATCTGTGAAGCTGCTCACTCCAGACAGAATCTCTTGGCCAGAGACTGCCTATAGAGAATATTTGCACAACGTTCTTTCCACATGAGATGGAAGGCATATCCACGAATTGAATATTCATGTGGAAGACTATCACTGCACAAAAGATCTGTGTCTCCACTTTTCATATTCCAGAAGTTGTATCTGTATTTTTCGAAGAGCATTTGGGAGTCCACAGTAAGGGCAAATATAATGAGATGAATGTGTGCAAAAACATTTACAATGTGAATAAAAATGCTCATAAATTAAAAGTGATATAACATAATTTTTATTCCAAAAGTAGAAGTGAATATAAAGGAATAAAAAAATGGTTTGGTGTAATTCTGTTTTTAATAAGTTCTGAAAACCAATGAGTGGGGGCAACCTGATCTCCAATGAGACAATTTTAGAAAAGCAGCACTTTCTGACTTTAGTTTTATCTCTTTCAAGTTTGAGACCACAGACATTTTCCCTTTCCCTCCTAGATTATCTGGTAGGTCAGGTCATTTCCAGTTTGATTAGCTGGTCTTGTAGGTAGCCAGGTGCCAAGCTATAAAAAGCTTTGTAGGTCAAAACAAGCACTTTAAAATTTACTCAAAGTACAATTGGTAAATAGTGCAGACTCACAGAATGGTGTTATTTGTTTCCAACATCAGGTGCCAGGAAGTAAACAGGCCACTGCATTCTAGATTAATTCTAGTTTCCATGTAGTTTTTAAAGACAGCCCAGGTAGAATGAATTCAAGTATAATTAAATATCTGCAACTCTGATCCTACCTGAGCATAAATGCCCCTAAGCACGTATGACATCCTTTAACGGGTTATTCTGGAATAGTTTTCCAAGCTGAGCTGCATTCCTGATCCTTTTGCTTCTATCTCTTCAAACACCAGAATTCTTAAGTGGTGGATAAAATTGATTCTTGCTCTGGTTCAGAAGCTGACCGATTCAGGGCAAACATGGTGGGAACAGTTGTTGGCTCTGCATCGTTTGGATCTGGGAGAGCAGAGTTTGCTTGCTGCTTTGTTTCCCCCTGGTCTTCCATCCATCTGAGGATATCTGAGCTCATAAGACCAGACTGTAACAATTGAATAGGTTTGGTAGAAAAAGAATGAGTAAGCATATATTTCTGAGGTTATGCACAACAACCTTCCAATAACACAGTATGTCACAATTTTCAAGAAGGAAATTTCGAGGCCTATGCTGTATCTTCAACATCTTAATTTTTCAACCTGCCTTGCTTCAGAATAATCTCAATATCATTCTTTCCCTCTTATAGCAAAATATTAGTTCACATATACTGATTTTCAAAAGGTCTATTTTTATATCTTTATACTGTGCTATCTATATTTTCCTGGGCTTTAGAATAGCAATAGCAATAGCAATAGCAGTAGACTTATATACCGCTTCATAGGCCTTTTAGGCCTCTCTAAGCGGTTTACAGAGAGTCAGCATATTGCCCCCAACAATCTGGGTCCTCATTTTACCCACCTCGGAAGGATGGAAGGCTGAGTCAACCCTGAGCCAGTGAGATTTGAACCGCTGACCTGCTGATCTAGCAGTAGCCTGCAGTGCTGCATTTAACCACTGCGCCACCTTGTATAAATGTATAAATTTTGATGATATTAAATACAGTACCTAGAGGTTCCCCACACCCTAAGAGCATCACACCTATTGCAGTGGTGGGTTCTTACCGGTTTGGTAGAGGTTTGGTGGCCTGTGCCTGCCACACCCCCAAACTGGTTCTCCCAGTGACGCCATAGGCAGCACCATCTTGTTTTTGGCTTCTGCACATGTGCAGAACAATTTTTATTGAACTGTGCATCCGGTCACAGGGCATATCAAATGCGCACAGCATGGCCATGAGCAAACCAGGCCTGCCAGACCCCACCCCTGATCTTGTATCTTCATCTCCTTTCTAGATGATTGGCACTTGGTTGGTCCATCATGTATCATGATTTTTGCGCACATTTCTCACGTGCATCTCTTTTTACAGTAACTTGAGGTTTGGATAAACTATGAGAAGTTTGCCTTCATTTAGTCCATCCATTTCTGGCATGTTACAATCACAGTACTTTTTTTTTAACCTTATTCATGAACAACAGTCATCATCATCCACGCATCTATATGCAAGTACAAGGCACATCTTTCTTCTTTTTACATCTGAGGTAACATACTAAATATGTTTTCACCCCAGCCCCTTTGAGGAGTTCTTCCAAGGTAGAACTGCCAAGATAGAATAAAAAAAATGTTGTGATTTCTGCTACATAAATAAGGTGGTATAAAGTCCATCCGACTTCAATAGCTCACTAAATAACCCATTACCCCTTAGGGTTATTTTAAAGATATTTCCTTACCATATTCTTCAATGTTTTCAAACATTGAAAAGCTCTTAAGAACTAAGGAAGAAATTCAGAGATGTATCTGCCTTGAAAGTAATCTATGTTGAACTATACAGAACAATCAAACATCAACTTTATTATGTATTATCTCATAACATTTATTTTATCAAATATATACATTGCCCATGTCACCTAAGTGACTCTGGGCAACTTACACATTTTTTTAAAAAAAATCAATAAAATGGTTAATGATAATGTTTGTCATTAAATATTTTTATTTTAAAATTTCAATTCTATAGTTGTCATAGGAATGATGCCTGAATAATGTTTGCATTCTGCTTAAACCAAACAGCATCTTTCCAAAAAGATTAGTATTTATTTTTTGCCCTTTCCAGACTAACTTAAAGATTAGGTGCTTTTTCCCAGTTGGTGTCCAAATGTATTGTGACCATATATTCTTATGAGCTTGGTAATAAATATTCCTCCCATATTCAAGATGGCAAATAGGCAGGTACTCTTAATGCTATCCTTCCTCCAGAGGTATAGTAGGGAGCTAGTTGAGCTCAGTAATTACTTTCTTTCAATACTATCTTCTAAAATAAACTACTTTTAGAGGCATGCCATTGGTTAGTTCTTTGGTAGGTCATCATATGACTATCAAATGATTCTGAAGCTTACAAAGCTAACTTATTAGTATGTGAAACATAGATATCATAATGAATAGAAAACATAATTGATTCACCTCTAATTGAAATTATTTGAGTGATTGCCAATTCACACAACTGTCTTCCTACTCCACTTGATGTTTGATGTTATCTCAGGAATTGAGATGCAGTCAGAGCAGGGGTGTAATGCTCCAGTTTGGACTGGTTTGCCCGACCCAGTAGTAAAAAGTTCTACCAGTTCAGGTGAATCGGTATTTCCAACGATCAGCTGGGCGAAGATCAGCTGTGACGCGCGATTTATATTAGCTAGAATAATCAGATTTCCTGCTTTCTAGGTCATCTAAATCGCATGGCACAGTGGATCCTTCCCTTGCTGTTCTACTTACCTTTGCAGACTTGGAAGGCTTCAAAATGTTCCTTTTTTAGCACTGCGCCGTGTGCCTCAGGTGCGCCAAGCGCACATTCGGTAGCAGACTAATCAAACCGGTAGCAGACTTCAGAGGATTACACCGCTGAGTCAGAACCATGCTTGGCCATGTCTTGTCATGGTTCAGGGGACGCACTTGTTTTTCTTTAAACACTTGAAGATTCCTAATGGACTCTGGACAAGTATATAAGCTGTGTAGCTCATCTTTTCTTCATACAAGTGATCACTGTGGATAATTCTCACTGTCTTGTACTACTTCTTTTTAAACATTCCACTCCCTGTTCACCTTTCCCAAAACAATTGTTTGAGTGTACAATGTTGCATTCCTTTGATTGTATTCCATGCATCACAAAGGAATGTACAACAGTGAATGTTTTTCTTTGAGGTAGCTGTTGAAATTTTTTGCTATTTTAATTTAGTTCCCCCCCCCAAAAAAAAAATTGTGTATATATAAATATCTATATGTCAATACAACAGCTTGGCAGTTTAGAACAGCAGTACTCATAGTTATGAAAGAGCTAACCAATAAGAGATACCTGCTTATTTCATAGCTATGGAGAAGAAATACTATGTGCCATTTCACAGTAAGAGAGCATTTTCTTCTTTTGCACAACTGGTGAAGTTATTGAAATGCTTCCTACCTTACGTGAAGTCTTTAAAAATGCAATATTTTTAAATAAAACACTGCCTTTTCAAAGAAATATTTCTAATATCTTGGGAGAAAATAGCACTCTATACATGCACCTCATTCAGAATCATCTATCATTCAGAATGAAATCTCTTATATAGTTCTTATTAACCTCTCCTTTTGAAATGCCAAATTGACCAGAATTGGTTTATAACTTATATCGATCCCATTACAGGAGAATTTGGTGAAGTTTATAAAGGGCGCCTGAAACTGCCTGGCAAGAGAGAAATTTACGTGGCTATTAAGACATTAAAGGCCGGCTATTCTGAAAAACAACGACGGGATTTCCTAAGTGAAGCCAGCATCATGGGTCAGTTTGACCATCCAAATATTATTCGTTTGGAGGGGGTTGTAACTAAAAGTCGGCCAGTGATGATTATCACAGAATTTATGGAAAATGGAGCCCTGGATTCTTTTCTACGAGTAAGTACAATAGTATTTTTAAGTGATAATGGACTGGAACTATCTCATGAGATCCTTTGCTATTGTAGGATAGTGGTGCAGATTAAGTCATCTCTTTAAATTAATAATTCTAAAACAATGTTTCGAACTCTCTCATTATTTTTATAATTAAATCACATAAGTATATCTTGAAAGAGTCCATATTTTATGTCTTCTTAGCAACGTCAATTGGGAGAATTGAATATAACCTTCCTTCCAGTCCCTGGCTCTGCTGCGATTAGAATATTATTTTTCTTAGTTTTGGACAATGGAATCTACTGGGTCTATTTTGCACATCCTCTTAGCTGGATTTCTTGTTCTTCAGCTTTTAAAGTTTTCTGTTTGCTTTTTTCTCAACACTTTCATTCTTTCACTAGCAATTTTCTCTAGTTCTCATTTCTCTCTTTATCTATTCTTCTGAATTAGCTCACTTCCTCTAACTTATGCCTATTCTATTAAATTCCCCCGAATCAGCCTCCCTCCATTTCCAACCATTTCTTTCCTTCTTTATCAGTTTTGGGGAGAGTTCTATTCCCAACCTATTTTCTAGTTTCTGCACTTTTGAATGCTTATTTTTGTGCTTATTTTTCACTATTACAGCAAAATGATGGCCAGTTTACGGTCATTCAGTTGGTGGGAATGTTACGAGGGATTGCAGCTGGCATGAAGTACCTTGCAGAAATGAATTATGTTCACCGTGATCTTGCAGCCAGAAATATCCTGGTCAACAGCAACCTGGTCTGTAAAGTATCTGATTTTGGTCTCTCTCGTTACCTGCAAGATGACACATCAGATCCAACTTATACCAGCTCTTTGGTAGGTACTTTGCATGTCAGAATTTCTGGGGAGCTGAGGAGGTTAACAGGTGTTTTCATTCATTAGCTTTCAGCCTCTTATAATAATTTACATGCTACATTGGTCCTCTTGCTCTAATTATTTTTACTCAATGGTCCAAATTAAATATATATTTTAATTTTTATCTATGGATGCTAATATAGGAATGTTAATAAAGAAGACCAAAATTCATTTGAACACATATTGCAAGAGACTGTCCTGATCTCAAGTAGGTAAGATCCAAAAAAAAAAAGAAACAAAGAGATTAGGTCTGCTCTAAGGATATGGGAATTAAGCCATGAACAAACAGGTGATCATAGCAGATGGCAAATCCGAGGGAATAACAAAATAATACTTATCATTAGGACTTGTGATAGGCTCAGCACAGCAGCCACCACAGAGCCATTCAACTAAAAAATGAAATTTGTGAAGACACTGGAAATATGTTCTTCCTGAAACTTCTGTTGTTTCTGAGATATCATACAGTTTCCTCTGTCACATCTCAGATTGCCGACAGCTCATTAAATTTAGATTTACATATTGCAAAGTATAATGAATCTCAGTGGTAAGATGGTATTGGTTATGACCATGATGTTATTACAATTTGTGTATCCAAAGTCTCCATGGGATTCTTCCTCTTTAATAAAGGCAATAAATGATCTGCTCAGGGCAAATGTGCCAAATGGAGTTCAAACTAAACTGCTAAAAACAAAGCAAACCAGGATTCCTTGCTTCTTGATTTAAAATATAGCTTAAAACTTTTCTCTTATCTAAGAAAGTCACAACAACAAACATCTAAATCACAACAATTTTAGCTATCACTATTGGAACATATTTGCAAGTGTCTTAGGCAGTTTGTCCTTGCAGTTTCCTAAGATCAGCTGCTAGTATCTCCGAAAACAGCCAGTGTGGATGAACAACAGCTACTGGCTATTAACAGGTTTATTCAGTCATCAAAATCGCTTATTCAGTTTGGTTTTTGTAGATTTCAGAAAATACATTTGAAATGAAGTCAATGGATCATCTAATTTTGCATATTCTATACTTGAATCATCCTATATTTAAACAGCTTATCAAACAGTCCTCTTTTTGAAACTCTAAGATAGGGATACTCATGAACTACTTCCACTCATGAAGTGCTGTACTGTTTCGGTTTTGCTATTTTCTTTCTTTCTTTTTTGCTCCCCAGCAGTTGCAAATAATATTATTGGGAAATGTGGGTCATGTTTTTGTCCCATTTAAAGGTAAACGTTCCCCTCACACATATGTGCTAGTTGTTCCCGAACTCCAGGGGGCAATGTTCATCTCTGTTTCAAAGCCGAAGAGCCAGCACTGTCCGAAGATGTCTCGATGGTCATGTAGCCAGCATGACTAAACAGCGAAGGCAAATGGAACTCTCTTACTGTCCCACCAAGGTGGTCTGTATTTTTCTAGTTGCATTTTTACATTCTTTCAAACTGCTGGGTTGGCAGAAGTTGGGACAAGTAACCGGAGCTCACTCCATTACATGGCACTAGTGATTCGAACTGCCAAACTGCCAACCTTTCTGATCGACAAGCTCAGCGTCTTAGCCACCAAGCCAACACGTCCCTTTGTTCCATTTAGAAAGATATTAAAAATTTAAAACGATGCCTTGGTCTTGCAAATGCTTAAATCATACTTTTTTAAAAGTCATAAACACACACACACCGAGAAAACAAACAGTACAGCAGTGTTTTGGTGTGGTAGTTGTAATGTATTGTTTAAAGACTCAAGTATTTCAAAAAGCCTTTGATGCAAAAGAAAAGGATCAAAAATTCCCGTTACAGATTGTTGCATAGACAGATTGTTGCATAGACATCATCAATATGATGATGATAATCCAATGGGCCATGGTTTGCAGCCCTTTCCAGATGACACAGGAACACTCAGAAAAGCAATCAAACATGCTGTTCCAGGATCGTTTCCCCCTTTTGCTGGTTTAAATAGCCAACACCGGTGCAGCCCATCACAAGGGGTGTGGCTGCCATCTCAAAGGTTGTTGAATTGAACGGGACTGCTCTTGTCGCCTCCTAGCCCTGAATGCTCATGGATCAGGAGGAGGGGGTAGCTCCTCCTCCTTATCTGCACTGGCCACTGGCAGCTCCATCCCTGCCTGAAGCCTCAGAGTTCATTTATTGTAGCTGTGTTTCTATCTGCCTGCACTCAGCCAGAAACTCATCCAGTCGCTGCAATTGTGATTTTGACATTGACCTGGAGCTTCCTGCTACCTGATCAGAGCCACCGGTCACTCCCAACTCATTGCCACATCTCCCCTGGAGGTGCCTGGGACTGATTTGTCCTCCTCCTCCAAACTAGCATCAGGGGAGGGGTCTGGAAAAAGACACATCCATAAAGACCATCTCATGAACACATCTTTGCCTCTATTGTCTTCTGCATAGCTACTAAAGCCTCCCAGTTCACAAAAAGGGAAGTGCCTTGCTGTGTAAAGTTTGGAAGCAGCATTTATCCCTGGCATTGTCTAAATTGAAACTGAAGCCCTCATGTAGTATGACTAGTTTCTTGCAGAATAAATTCCAGCAACAAAAATAATAATCAAGGGAAAAAAGGAACAAGCCAAATGGCACAAATTATTATAAATATTACAGTTCCACACCCCCCCCCAAAAACATGTTTAATTGGTAGAATTGGAGTGATGTTACTTTACAACCAGAATTTCAGCAGTGAACCAGAAATACATGGCTTAACTAGAAATCCCGTTTCTTCTCTAAACTGCATTTGCAGTCCATTTAAATAAATCAGTGTGAGCTTAAATTGTCCACTGAACATAATAGGACCTCTCCTACGTCTGGAAAAAAAGCAGATTTTTATCATCTGTATTTTTATAGTAGATTTATGCTCCAAATGGCCTTTCAAGCAGCTGGAAAGTGATGCAGTGCTTGCAATTACGTCATTGCTTCCCATGGTAGATTCATAATTCTGCTCTTGTGGGATAAGTAAGACAATAACCTTCAAGCAAATGTCTCTTTTTAAATGGAGCTCTTATTATAGTGGCAAAATCTCTTGTGCCATCCACTTTTAAAAAGGAAATGAAAATAACTAATTCTACCCCGGGTCAATGTTTTGTTTTATTTGTTTTCCCTTCCTTTTATATTAAACTTAATTGTGACATGAATGTTTCATCTGAAAACAAGATCACTAAAAATGAAACCAACTACTACTGTACTAAACCACTATTAACTATTACTTATCTCTCCTTACCGGTCAACCTGTTCAGGTGATACGATACTCACCTATTAACTATGATGGCACAAATAGAGTATGAAAATATAGAATTATGTTCCCTGTTGGGATAGTAAACAGATCAACCAAAAAAAAAACCCAACAACAAATGTTTCTGCTCATATCTTAGAGTAGTGCTCTAAGAATGAGTAGAAAGAATGAGTAACTGCCCATCTTTCCAACTTGCTTCTAACTATAGTGCAAACCTCACCTGACTATCTCTTTTTTTTCTGACTTGTTTCACTGATATAGTCTTCCTTTTTATTTCCAGCTCATGAATGACACAGCCTTAGGTTACTACTGTTAGCTGTCAAAGTATTATTCTGATACTGTATCACAACAGCCATATGGTGTGTAACATATGCTAGACTTTACCACCAGTTAGTTTGGAAGGAAGTTAAATGACTGCAGTAAGTGGGGACAGAGACAATGGAATCAGGATATGGATCAATAATGGGAACAGCAAATTTCATGCCAAGATCATTTTTTTTTGCTGGCTGCAGAATCTCTGTCATCAATTCTGCCTGTTAACTATCACCCTCCTCCATCACCCACTTTTCTCTTGTAAAAGGAGATGAAGTTGCATGCAATTGTTTAGGCATCTCTGTCCAATTACATGTGGCAATGAATTTGTCAGTGAAAAGAAGTTCAGGTAATTGCCAATGCTAAAATCTTTCTGCAAATTTGAATTCAGACCTAGTTTTTATTGTTTGCAGGTTCAAAATAAGAAAACAGTGATTAGTGGATATAAATGTGTGAACAACTTTTCAGTCATTATTTGTAACATGTCCTTTGGAAGTATTGTTGCACTGTAGTCTTCCAGCTAGAAGTCTGCTAGATTAAAAGTATCCTATGCCATCCTTGTTTCTTCCCATAGATATTTTTTTAGTACTATTCATATCTAACAACAATGAAGGTAATTTAATTTTTTTTCCTGTAAAAACTTCATAGTTGATTTGGGACATGTTTCAGGTTGCTGTCTTTCTAAAATATCCATTTTCAGCCCTTCCCCCCCCCAAGAGATTCGGTGAAACACACAATTTGGCTACAGATGCCTACAGTTTTGCATACAATTGTTGGTATGGCAGCAGAGGCAGAGGCAGAAGAGAGAGATGAAAATTCTGCTCCTCCTCCTCTGATACTCTGATATAATAACTATTTGGTGGGATGGCAATGGGGATTGTAAGCCCCCCCCCCAAAAAAAAAATTTGTGGCAGTAGATACTTTTTTCCAAGATAGAAGCAGATAACACAATAAAAACTAATTTATACTAATTTCATAGTCAAATCACTGAAGTACTTGATAATAAGTCAAGCACTATTAATGGTTCTGGTCCCCCTCCCTTGTTTACTTCTGTTGCACAGCCCTGCATCTATTCCTTTTGCCTGCTCAAATAACTGCTTAAGTACAATACAGTTTGGCTAGTTTTATCATCTAGATTAGTGTTTCTCAATTTCATCAGCTTTGAAATGTGTGGATTTCAACTGGCCAAGGAATTCTGGAGGTTGAAATTAACATATCTTAACGTTTCTGAAATTGAGGAACATTGGTCTACCTATTGGGGTTACGTGTTCTGTGATGTTCAGGTAAAAGTGATGACAATCAAGCTTTGAATTAACTGAATTTACTGATTCAAACAGATGGCAACCTACAACCTTTTCTTCTGTCTGGAGCTATTTCTAATCATAATTCATTAATACTTAGGATGACCCTTCTAATATAATGCAATGTACAAAAGCATAAAACTATTTTCTGCATTAGGGGAAAAAAAGTTCAATGTTGTCTTTCTTGACACTTCATTCAAGCCATAAGTTTGTCCCCCTTTCTAATACTGATTATAAGATGTGCTTAGAAATGTATTTTGAAGTATAATGAAAGGGTACCTATATTAGCTACTACATATCACTGGCAATATATAATTTTAAAATGAGAAACGGAAACACTTGCTTTGCTTCATCTGGTATGCTCAGCAAATTGTGATGAGCTGTCATATATATGCCAAAGGCAACCCCAGTTTCTTGCCCTTCCTTTGGTATCTTTCTTAGGGGAAAGTGCCAGAAGCAAAAAAATGTTCGTGTTTCACAATACAAACAGCCAAGGGTGAGGAAGTGTCACTCAGGATAAAACCCTGAAGACCATGGTTGCTATTTAGTATGCAAAGAGGTGCAAGGAAACAGCTGTTACTGTCAGCCTTTGACGTCTGCTGTTGGGCCTAGAAGTGGGAGCACACCTACATATTCTCTGTAGGAAACATGCTGTCCTTTTCAAAACACTTGCTTGTCCATTGGCATTCATGAGCAGGAGATTTCGTTAGCTACTGTTTATGCTGAACACCACAGCTGGAATAAATGTCACAATGCTAATTTCTTTTCTCATGCAGAAAGTACTAGTGTCTCTACCATGAAACAAATGAAGCATATTAGCTACAGCCATGAACCAAGCTCTGTTCTCGGGTTTGCATTAATACAATAATTTGAACTAGTTGTTTTATCTCCATCTGGAAATTGCAATTCACAGAAACCATTTACTACTTGCACATAGCAAAAGTTTATAGGATTATTTATGGGTATATATCAAACTATTGTTAAAAACAACTGCAATCAATGGTCAATCTTCATAGGCCTGCTAACTTCCTTTGAGAGTCTCACTGGATTTGGAACTAATCACTTATTTTCAGGTAAACTTCCCTCACAGGAGTGTGGAGAGAAAAATGGGAATGGCACTTATGCTGCCTTGAATTTAAAAGACAAAGATAGGATATATATCTGATGAATAACAATCATACTTTAATTGCTTCTGGAAAACATTCTCCTGCTTTCCATAGAGCAGATTATGTGTAACTCAGTCGTGTTTAAAAAATAATTGGCATTACATATTGCATTAAACCATCTGTTTCTTAAGCATGATTTATTTACTAAATCACAATTGACTTGGATTCATATGCTAAGATACAAACTATGAAATCATTACATCATCGCCTAGCATTGGTTTTGCAGCAGAACTCTCCGTTTTAAAAATGCAATTTCTTGATAACTAAAGGTTGTAGGAAGCAAATATACACAGTAGTAGTAGTAGTAGTAGTAGAAGGAAGAAGAAGAAGAAGAAGACGACGAAGAAGAAGAAGAAGAAGAAGGAGAAGAAGAAGAAGAAGAAGAAGAAGAAGAAGAA